CTTGGAGGTTACATTCAGAAGCAAAAGGATTCATTTCTTTTATTTACTTCCTGATGTTAAGGTCAGCAGGTATGTAAAAAATGACACACAATGAACACTGTGTGTAGGAGGTGTGCCTTTTTCATAACAAAATATTCAATATTCAGTTCTCAGTTCTCAGGTAACAGCCAAGTGCATTCCAAATAGAGTGCAACAAATGCTCCTATTTTTAAGAGTAAATCAAGCAAATAACTCCAAGCTGTCCATAGTTCTGTATGTCTGCTTTTCAAAAGACTGGGTCAAGTTAAAGTCTGTGAGGATAAGTACACACTAAAAAGTAAAGTCAACTGTAAAATCTATTTTAACAGATCCTATTCCTATTTCAATGCATAAACAGACCTGGTTTATAGAACATCTGGGGAATACAAATTAGGATGTAATTTTGGTTTTCCACAAGTACCTTGAATTCATTATTCATGGAATAAAGGATGTCTTTGTTTATCCTTTTGGGAAATGGGTGAACTGGAGGTGAGGTTTTTTCCTCTACAGTAAARCTACTGCCTCAAATACCTTCTTACAAAGAAGTGTAGCAATCAGTAAAAGACTTCAGTTTAAAAGCAATTTATATAGAGTTAAGAAAGTTAAGATATAAATCTCTTAATCATCCCAAGATTGTTGGAATACAGGGTAACAGATATTTATTTTAAGGAATGTTTGTGTACTTAATTGCCAGTGACTTCATGGAGATAGGATTTCTGAATACCTCCCTCTCTCTGCCTGAAAATACATACCACGAGAAGATCATTAAATAAAAATATTTCTCGTTGGTGCAATCCAAGCTTCTGAGGTTTATTTGGATCTGGAACTTCAAACAGCCTACAGTAGCAAACAAGCCTCCGGTGGGGGAGGGAGAGCACCTGCAATAATAAAAAAATTCATGGTTCATATAACAACGTTTAGCCAAGAAATAATATTTTTCATACACAGAATCTTTTTTTTTTTAATGTTTTAAATATTTTTAACTCTAAGCTCATTAGACTTTCCCAACCAAAGGACCAACAACAGGACTATAAAGCTTTTAAGCCACAAACTTTGATGACATTCAAACTTCATAAAAGTTCTTCTGTCAAATGCCTTCTAAAAGCTTGCAGCCCAGTGGAAGTTCTACTGGGGATAGAGTTTTACTTTGTGAAATGATAAAAATTTCAAAGAACTTGAGATTAACCTGAGTGGAAGCTCAAAGCAAGGGATGGTTGCTTCCATGAGCATTTTTATTATCATTAGAAGAAAGGATGCAAAGCAACTTTAGCTTTTGTGAGATGCTGTAAGTTACTTTTTGTCAGCCACTGAGTTAATTCAATTTGTTCATTCCCCAGTCTCAAGGAAACTATGACATCAGGATAAAGTAAATGCATTTTCAATCTGCCTTACTTTCTCAAGYGAGCAAGAAAATCAAGACTGATTTTCCATTTTCTTATTTGAAATGTCTGCTGAAGGTCCCTCCGAAGCTGCTGAGTGAGATTTAATTTCTTTCAAATGCAAATGATGAGATCTTGTTAGCAACACCAAAAGAAATCCATAAACTGGTGCATTATAAGAATGGCTTTAGKTTTATTACTGACCATGCCTATAATTTAAATCTGGAATCAAAATTTCCAATGTTCATTTTACCATGCAGAAGTGTACTTTAAAAGTCACTGGCAGTATCTTTCCAGAGTATCTCTCAATTCTCAAATGGACCAGAAAGAATAAACACACCAYAGCTCAGGTGGAAAGTGAGGTGCAACTGTGATTTTAATAATTTGTTTATTCTTTACTGGCTAATTTCTGCAGTGATAATAACATTTGAAACAAATAAAACGTATACAAAAAAGGTCTAGAAGACCCTGGGCAATAAATTAAGCGGCCTCTGGGAAACTTTTTTTTTAGAAAATCTTTATATTTTTGAGAGTTTTTACTATAACACTAAGCAAATTTTGCTTGAAAGAACACCAGTAATTTAAAATTTTAAAATGTAACAGAATGCCTTATTGTCAGTTCTGGAAAATGCTGCCAGTTACAATGCCTGTAAAYTTTGAAGGAGTAGGAGAGAAATACCTACACAACCAAGTCCATGGTGCAGAGATCCAATCTACAGTAGAAAGACACATACAAGTTCATTAAACTTCAGAGAAACACAGAACTGTATCATAGCAAGTAAATACTGCACGCTCTGACTATGACTAAATGCCTATAAAGTAAAAACAAATAGAGCTATCAATAAGGACTGTTTGCCTGTTYCCTAAATTTCCTTGCACATAGTTAAAAAGTCTCCCATCAGAAGAATCCTTCAAGCTAGGACTCCACCAAGGGCATTGTTTTCTTAATCCCATTTAATTTACAAGGTCAGGATTAGTTTTAGGATTTGAATTGCCACATGTCTGAATAAAAAAAGAACCACGGAAAGAAACCATCTCCCACAGAAGCCTATATATAAAACCTAAATCCCCATTATAGAAACAAAGTTTGATATGAAAGTGTAAGTGCCAGAATACTGACTCAGGAATATTAATTTCCCTTACTCTCAAGAACAGTTAAAAGCTTTTATTAAAATTCTGCTTGCTTTCTTCTGCTTCTTCAAAGAGATCTCAGCATGTTCTTTACTGGGAAACAGACCTAAATGAGATTTTTGGTGGTCCCTTATTCCCTTCCCCCATGCCCTGCACTTAGGCTTGTCTGAGAAGAGATTACARTTCAAAGCTCTTTAACAGTAATAGGGAGAATCTTGAGATCTGTTCTTTTCCTTAGGAACAAATCCCCCAGCCCATCAGACCCTGCTGCAGGGAAGTTCCRTGGAGCTGATAAAACTCAGATATATGGTGCCAAAACCATGAAAGTCTCAGGTTTTTTGGCTTTGTTCTGGCCTGCTTTTGTGGTTACTGACATGAAGATTTGAATTCAGGAGGGCTGAGCATCTCCACATTAGACACCTTTGTTAACATGGAAAATACGGGTCTTAAAACCTCTGTGCTCCTTAATCAGAGGTAAAATGCTGTGGCCTTTCTTTTTGCCCTCCTCTTCCAACAGATGCTTTGAAGATTTATTTATATAGCAAAGCATTGGAGGACTTTTTCCCACAACAGAGAGCCATCTCTGGATGTTCAAACCCAGCATCAGAATTCCTGAGACCTGATTTTCAGATATGCCCTGAGATAAAATTACCCCGTCTCCCCTTACAAATCCCAGGATATGGAGGCAGCTGTGCAGGTGACAAAGATGCTGATGTGAGCAGAAGCTCTGTGTAAACTCTGGRGCCATAACTAACAGTGCAGACTTTGAAATATGGCTCTCTACAACATCCTATGAACAAACCACTTCAGAGAACTGCCTAAAGTGCAGATATTTCAGTGTCATTTCAGTATTGTAAACCTTCACAAAAAGAATTTTAAGGTTCCTAAYATCTTAACCCATGACTGCAACAAGAAAATTCATCTGCGTGGATACTCCAGAATTTAAGCCAACCTTCAAGGGAATGATTGTGAGAGTTTCTGCCCTTTCCCATTTCTGGACCAGTCCATCMTGGTGAGCAGCACAGCTCTGTTGCTGTGTGCTGTCAATGTCCCCATGGCAGAGCAGAGGGCACTCACCGGTTTCTTGCCCACGATGAGCTTCTCCACCTTCTGCACCTGGGACACGTGGTCCTCGTTGGTCTTCAGCTCCCGCTTGCGGATGCGCTCGTAAATCCCGATCAGCATCTCCCGGGGAATGTCCTCRCCATCATCCACCCCTGCAGAGCCAAGTGTCTGTTAGCAGGGATGTGACAGAGSTAAGGAGAGGATAAAAACCTGGGCAGTCTCTGTCTTCTCTGCTCCCAGCAATGCCAGTGTTACCTGACTGTGGATGTTTGTGCTGGTTTTTCCCAGCTGCCAGCCAGCACCTGCTGTGTGACCTTGTGCTGCCTCACCCAGGCAGAAGTTATGGCAACGTGATTTCAGCACTGACTTTGGGCCAGGAGCTCACTGCCCATATGCCAGGACATTGACTGAAGTCACGCAGGTTTGGGTTTGCTTTGTTTTAAAACTCTAGTCTAAAACTAAGACATAAAAAGGCTCATTTCCTATTTGATTTTTTTTTTGTCTTTCACATTTCCTCTGTTTGGTATTAAAGCTACAATGAGTAAAATTCCTTTTTAGATGCTAAAACCTCCATATGACATTCTCCTAGGAATACAACACTGGGASGAAGCAGAAGAACCATTTCATTTTGCCTCTGCCTCAATATTACTCAATGYTGTTCACAAAACAATTTCCTATGTGAGAACCTTATGAACACCCAGTAAAATTAATTTAACCAATATTTCCTGTAAGAGTTAAAAAAAACCTCTAATTTACTCTGGGAAAAACAAATCAACAAAATAGTCTAGATGCAGTATTATTGTTTAGCACTACGTGATTATCATTGGCACGGCATTCCAACAAATGCCACACTGTTTCRAATGCTTAATCCTGAATTTTTAATGGCAGTGGAAGGAGTCCAGTTTCACTAAGTGACTTAAAGCTGGATTTTTTTGGGGCAGGGAGATGTATGTCTCTTTTTAAAACAGGTTTTAAAGCAATAAACTCTTATCTCCCATTCAGAAGCAAAGATAGAATATTTTGCCAGCCAGTGGAACAACTGCACCTATAAAAAACACAGTGATAAAATACAGTTTGTTTGCAGACAGAAGCAGGCAAAACCACCTCTGTTCTGTTCTGTCCCACATGTCCAGGCCTTCCACAGACCACCCTTTGTGATCCAGTAATTTAAAGCTGCAGCAAGGTAGCCTGGTACAAAAATGCCTGCAATAACAAGAACTGCTGGCATGCATGCTGGAGCTCAGAGAGAATGTGCTGTGTCTAATTTTACAAATGTAACTGCAGCATCATGCCAAGAGATTCATATCAGGCCTTTTTGAGTATTTCTGGATTTGAAAATCTCACCAGTAACTCAAACTTTGTTAAGTGGAAACATCAGCTAAGCACAGGTCATTCATTCCTGCCTTATACAAATCTCAGGGAATAAAATCACCAAACAGGGCTTTCCTTTTACAGGTTTGAAATTCCAGAAAAAGTATTTTGGTTGTACTGGTCCTGAAATCAAAGTGCAGCAAGCACACATGAACACAAACTGCCATGCATCTCAGGTGTGCCTATATATATAATCTTATATATTAAGCAACTTGATTCTTTTTTTTTCTGCCAAATCAGGTGGAGGAGGAGGAAGAGGACAAGGAGGTTACAATGACTGACAATTTTCCTGRTCTTTGCACAAACACTTACTAATAGAAGTCAAATAAAAGAGGCCTTCTCTCTGTGGGCAAAAACATCATGAAGAGAAAATAGGGATGGGGACTTGAGCATTGTATTATTTCTCTAACATCAGAGTGCTCTTCCGTGCTAAAAGGGAAATGCTGTCTGAGCCATTCCTCCCCTGAGAGCCCAGGAAAAACAGCAGGGATCATCTCTTCACCYATGGACTTCCTCCACTCAGTGACTCCTTCCGGGTGGGCAGAGCTGAGCTGACACTCACAAAAATTCTTTCACCACAAAGAACMAGGATAGAAAGATTAGAGACATAGACTGGAAAAAATACCTGCATTTTTTGGCCAATCTTGTTGCAAGTTTAAACATGCCACAGCCTGGCAAATTGTTTCTTGATCAGAAAATATACCAGTGARGAAATCAAAATGAAATTTCTGGGATATTTACCCTGTCAGAAAGGTTTCAGAATTGGGATTTTTGTTTCTCCAAAAAGAATTTAAATCACTGATTTATTTCTCATTAGGACATAGTGATTTCTGTCCCTTACTATATAAATAAATATGAGAATAAAAGGTCCTCACAATACGTATATCCACTCAAGAAAGACAAGATTAAAAATGCAAAATAGCACACAATTAATTTTGGTTTTGCTATTCCAGGAATAAAGTCTGTACAAATGGCAGCCAGGTTAAAGCAACATGAAGCAGTTCCCAGAAGACACAAAGTGTCCCTCCAAGGCCAGTGACAGAGAAAAGCTTTCAGGAGCTTTGTCCTTAGGGTTCCTTACCCCTGAGGTTCTTGATGAAGTCCTCGAGCTTCATCTTGCGCTCGGGTTTGACGTTGGGGCTGTACATGTCAGTGTTGAGCAGGATGATGGCGAAGGCCAGGATGAAGATGGTGTCGGGATTGCGGAACTGCCGCACCACGCCCGGGTTGCAGATGCAGTAACGCTGGCTGGGAACACCGAGGGGAGCCTGTCAGGGCTGGGGTACTGCTCCAATTGCACCAGATAACCCAGCTGCTGCGCCCCAGAGCCTCAGCAAGCTGTTATTCACTTTCCATACACACATTTAGCTTTCCATCCACCTCTTTTCATAATCCTTGAACATGCAAGGAGTTTGTTTCTACTTGCACTGTAACTTCACTTACTTACAATAACTTCAATATTCCGTTTTTTTCCAGAGATTAATACCCTAACACCAGGCAATCACACAGCATTGATTTTGGCTTATTGACATGTGGTGATTTCCATCTAATCCTGWCCTCGATACACCTGTGTCAGTCCTGGTACTTCACTCCTCTTTCTTACACTGTTGTTGAAGTGTTTAATGTAAAGTTAGGAGTAAAGATACCCTAAAAAGTGCATAATAAAATGCCTCACTTGCTCCAATAAAAATTCAGGTTATGTCCATAAAAATGAGCAAGAAAGAAGTAACAAAAGGGTGACAAAGAGAAGAGAATGGTCTTTTTGAGAATTTGCAAAAAGCTACAGCTAAAACTACCTTGGGCCTTTCATCAGCAATGCTCTATAGGAGGTAAACAGTTTAGCAGACTGCTAGCTACAAAAAGTCACTACAAAAGCACCTCAAAAGTGGTTATTAGACAGATTTCTTGCATATTCTATCTTCCCTGCCCAGCAGTAATTGGTTTCAAACAGGGAAAAGTGACAATGYAAGACCTCCACACTGGGTGATGGGTATTCCCASAAAGAACAGCAGTGCCCATTGTCAACATTTTAGCTCAAGTTTCACGCCTGGATTTTTTTCTAGAGGTCTTGCATTTATATAAGAATCACCAGGTGAGTGTTTTAAAACTACTGTTAYAATTCTACTCATATAAGCTACTAAATCCAAATATACTGTTAAGAGATGTTCAAAAATCTTCATCAATTTCTTTTCCAAATCATTTTCAACTGATGCCAGAAAGAAATTTTGAGACAACTTTTTACRTTAACACAAATGCCACACATGACCAGCACCAGGAAATGAAACTCCCTATTTCACATTTAGCAAAAMCCCCCAAACAACACGTATTTGAAACTGTAGCTCACGAGGACACTTAAAATAATCAGGAAAGTGACTTAGAYATGCCCAAGTTCCCCAGTTCTGAGGTCTGACTCTAAAGCAGGGGGTTTCTGGTGACTGAGGGATTTCTTTCACATCATACCTAAAAGCTTCAATGAGCCGCTCCACTTTCTGGGCTTCTCCTTGGACACGGATATGGGCCTGAAATTTCCTGAGTGCTTCATCCAGCTCCATTGTGGAGAAGTCCATCTCATCCACCACACAGCTAGGACAAAAACACATTTTGTATCTTTATTTCTAAYAACACAATACCAGAGACAGGATTTTGAAACAGAAAAAAAAATCTTTCGATTTTCCATCTCACAGAGATTCATGGAATTGGTTTTTAAACTTTCAGAAGCAATTGCAATAATTGCAGGTAAGCTGTGAAGGAAGGTAGAAAATAACAGATCAATGATAATGTGTACATGTAAGCAGACCCTTACATTTTTTTAACAGAATAGCTACTGGAATGACAAATGTCCGACCATTGTAAGTGATGTACCATTTCCAAGAATAATTACTGGTTTTGTGCTTCCAGGCCAATCAACTAYCACAATGCCTACAACAATAATAAATAGTTTATACTGCTTGAAATATCGTGTCTCAAACAGCCTGCAGCAGGCACAATAATCTGTACCAAATGGCTCTGTGTCAAGGAATGCTCTTAAATGCAAAGAAAAAAAATAACTTTGTTTCAATACTCTCTTATTGCTGCTCTAATTCTCATCTCCCCATCATTTGCCATGACTTTCAGTTAACATTTATGAAGAAATAATTACTTTCTAGCTTTGAAAATACAGTGCTGACAAAAAATAAAAGGCAACCATTTTAATATAATCAGCAATGTGACCTATGGCATTCTAGTACTTTGTTTAAAGACTGCTTGAGAATCAGAGGCTTATAAATTTCCTTTAAACTTAGCTTTTAGTTTTTAAATAACCAAACATGAATCACTGCAAGTAACAGCACTGTAATGCAGAAACCACAGAAAGCACTATCCACCTTTAAAAGCTTTTTCTTAAATGTATAGATATACAATGATAAATTACAGTAGCTGATATTTTTCTTCCAGTAATACTGTAGCTAATGCAGATTAACAGCAAGTAATTTATTCCCCTTGCCTTTAATATTTTTCCTTTTATTTAAAAACAYAATGAAACAAAGAGCCTGGCATTTTTCACACCCTCTCCAATCCTCACCTAAACTTTACATCAGCTCTGCAATAATGCTCACAATCTTCCCATTATTACAAGTTCTGTTACACTTTCAAAAGCCCTTTTCCAAGGTGTAAAGCACACGTGCCGACAAGCTGGAGTCAAAATGAAGTAACTACCACAATTAAGGACCCCCAGAAACATTCTGGCCAACAATGGGATGGGGAGGGGAATTAAACGTTTATATGAATGATGGAGACAGCAGATTTACCACCATGGACAGWGTTAACACCCACTAGGCAGCACYKGAATTCTGCTGATACAGAATGCARCTCTTGGGCCGAAATTCAGGCTGCRTTCATGAACATTTTCTAAGATCCAATGAAAATATTTTAAGCAGTTAAACCACTCCAGTTTACAGGATCTAGGAAACTTGATCACAAATCAAAGCAAGGAATTTGAAATTAAACTGTGTAACAGAAAAAGGATCTACTGTTAAAAAAATCTTTTCCAAGCACCAGTCTAGAGTTTTTAATCAGTTTGACAAAATCTCCCTCCAATCTCTAAATGTGATATTTATKATGAAATACTATTCTATTGCCTCTTTTTAAGGAGAAATACCTTGTTCCCATTGGCAGGCAAGTTTCAGAGCACTACCAAAAGAACTGCACTGCCAGCAGTGTTCCACACCCCAAAGTGCAGCTGGAACAGCTTAGTTAAGGACAAACTAATTTCAATAAAAGGATTGCTGGGGGGTTGTAGGTAGTTGATTATGAYCTTGTTCTTACCAATTCAACTCATCACAGATACAGCACCTGGTTTARCAGAGACACACCTCAATTTATGTCTGAGATGACTGAAGGCAAATGATTTGTTCAGGGTCACAAAATGCATCAYGGAATTGCAGAATGGTTTGGGTTGGRAGGGATCTTAACRATCATCTAAGATCACTCATCCTGAACCTGTGATGTTTTCTTTAAAGACCAAATTAAAAATACAGCTTTTGGAAAGTCTTCCCCCTATTCTGAGTCATGATTGCAAAGTCCAGATGTCCCTGTGAGTGGCTGACAGTGACTCAGGCTGAGCAGGGACTGCATCCAACCAAGCCACACTCCAGGGCTCTGCAGTGCCAGCCTGGCTGCAGCTTTGCAGCAGAGGTGTTTCCCTTGCTTCCTGCTGGTGCTCAGTCCTCAGGAAAGACTACATCTCTAGCCCTGGGCAGATTTCACTACAGCATTCATGATATTGTTAAATAAAACAGTTATTTAAAAAAACTGATGGGCAGATTTTTTCCTAMGCTTCCTTAATGGGAAAAAAGTCATGGGTTTTGCTTTCATTCTCAGCAGTTTTGTTAAACAGCTAACTAAAATTTGATACAATATATTGAAAAAAACTGGACTAAGATGTATTAATGTTTACAGGTCAGTATGCCAGACACACAAAATAAAAAAAGCCCCAAAGACAAAGTGCTTTAAATTAACACCCTCTTAAAGTAAAGCAACTTCTATTTTGGTCTACTGTGTATATAAGGTTTAGATATTTATGACCAAGCTCCTAAAAGTCAAATTTTCTGCTTTGAATTCCTTTTGGTTTTAAAACAGTTTCTGCTTATCTGATCTTTTGGAAAATAACAGTTTGTATAGACCTCGTCAGCATGTAYTTGCACACACAGAAATCCCTGTTTATCCAACACTGGAGCTATTTGGCTGTAATAATTATTACCAAGTTCTGTTACTGGTTAAGCCTTCTGTTGTATACAGTATTATTTTGATTCATTCAGTAAATTATTAGAGTCTGAGGAAAGAAATAAACCTTTGAAATAACATACTTTCAGGCCAGTGAAATTAAAACAAATGTAGTAAATATCCATGACCACAGGCCATATAAATCCTTGTRTTTTACTGGATCAGCAACAAAACCAGTAACTCAACTGGAAAGCAAAGAAATAAATATTTGCTGATGTGCATCTTTGGAGTGTGGCTTGTCCTTCCTCCAGAGGAGGACCCAGAGATCATGAACTTTGTGAGCTTGTTGAAGAATTGGTTTGAACACTGCACCACTGTCACCTCCTCCCCACAGAATACTCACTCTAACACATCCCTGTTGAACTGCTTTTGCCGATTTCCCAGGAATTCTCCGATCATCTGCCTGCTGAGCCCTTTTCTCTGCAGGAGAAAGTGTGCAACCCCCACGGGAGTGTCGGGCACGAATCCTCGCTCTATGAGGTACTGGACTCCTTTTTCKGGTTTTCTGAGGAGAAATGACAATGCAAGAGTGTGAATTTTCTTCCATTCCACATCACATCCAATTAAAATTCCAACAACAATTCTGCCAATTCTGGTCAATATATTCAAYCACTTTTAACCAATGTCCCAGCAGTACAGCCTAGTGTAGTTTCAGGAACATTTAGTTGCATACMTTGCTCACTGCTAGGAGCTGACAGCTTTGAGACATCTTTGCCTGTTATTACACATTTCCCTGCTCCATAACCCTCCYAAGGAGAAGCTCTGTATGCAAACAGCTTCCCTTGCCAATGAAAAAATGCCCAACACCAGCTACTAAAACCTCCCGTTGCTGTGAGCGAGGTACCTCCCAGAAACTGGACAGGAAAGCTGCTGCTGAAAAACGAGAAACAAAGAGCTTCCCTGACCTCCCCCCRTCCTGCTGTCAAAAGTTAAACTTAATGAACTAAATCATCTGAAATGGTGTAACTTACAAGCTGAGAGAACAAAAAATCAGGGGTAAAAGTCAATCAAGCCAAAAGAAGCAATTAAAAATGGTGCAGCCCCCACGTAATTGAGATTTTTGGTTCCTTGTCCTTTAACATCCCCACTGCCCCAGATTTTCCTCCCTCAGACAAGCACCTTCCGAGTCCCTGCAGTATTTTACATCTCTTTATACAGCTACAGAATCCTGTATAACTGTATAGCTGTAACCAMTTTCACATCTCAAACCAAAGCCACTCATTTTAACTTATTAAGCAGTGTGTGCTGGGGAGGAGGGTTGGGAGCAATAAAGGATATTGCTTATAAAGACAAACACTCCTTCTATTTTCAAGTGCTGCAAAATCCCCCTTACAGCACACACTGTGCACTGCATCATCCAGCACAGCAACACAACAGGAAACYGTAATTCCTTTAAAAAATATTAAAGGGGAATCTTTACAGAACCAGTTAATTCCATCATCAGCTTCATTTTGTAAGGAATTATCACATAATGTTCACCTGTAGGAGTGGGTGATTTGCAGTTTGCTGGTTGACTATAAGATATTTCCTYTAGGGTGAGCAAAATCAATCTGAGAGGACAAGGTGACCGTGCTATTTTTATACAAGGTTGATCACAYAACCATAACCCTTCCCCAGGGTTTTAATTGCAAATAACATTACTAAATACATCATTCAGTTCTCCAACTCTTTTACATTCCATTATTATACACTTAATACCCTATTAAGAATTAGACAGATCAGAGAAACATATATAATTTAATCAAAAGGGAGTTCTCAAATCTCAATTTCTTGCATCAGGCTTTGTGGTTCTTTTCATGTAAATAAGATTACACACACGGTCATCTTCTACAATTAATCTCCTTCACACTAAAAAGTACCCTTTTTGTAAGTAATGTAATTGTTATGTTCATATGCTTTTAAACTGTATTTCAGAATTCTTAATCTTACTAAATTTAAATTAACAGCATCCAACAAAAGCAGGAATAGTTTGCTCCATCCCCCTTGTTAGTGAGTGACATTTGTCCAGAAAAATCAGTGATACAAACCTAACAGAGCTCCTCTCCACTGACCATCAAAGCAGAAAACAACACTCAAAAATCACAGCTTGATCCAAAGATCACCTTTACTTGACACATAGAAAATGCTGGATCATTACCTACTGTACCAAAATCCAACCTGAATTYCTACCACCTGCCTGCACAAACCTGAACATTTAAAATCATCACAAAGGTGACACACTTTATTTTTCAACAGCTCCTATGTGTTTGTGTAAGTTTACRTAAGTCATGTTCTGCTTTATCCCACAAGAAACTTTGCTCCAGTTCAGTAATACGAAGTTGATTCCAACTCCCTTCAAATCAGGCTAGGTGAGTGTCCAAAACAGAGTTAAAAAACCCATCTARCAAAACACTGGAAGCCAATAATTCTTTTCCCATCGAGACTCTCCTCACGTTGGAGTGAAATATCAGGGAGTTTTGCAGTCTGKGATTATTGGAAAGCAGTGTAGGATTACTGGAAAGCAGTACAGCTTGTCACAAAAGTTGCAACCTGGCAGCAATAATATGAAAATAACACCTGCTGAAAGAATGAAGGCTGCTCTCTCCCTGTTTGATCAATCAACTGGTAAGTTAGGGAGCTCCAGGGCTTTATTGTGTTTYAAGCTCACTCCCACCTCGCAGCAGGTGGGACATTATCTTATTCACCAGGAAAAGTACTTACCAGAAAATGATGCCTCTTACAGAGTGCTCTGAAGTGCTATATTTCCAAGGAAATTTTACTTCAAAAGTGAAGCTAACAATAGGTTCAGAGAAAAAATGTACTCAAGGGGGCCTTCCCTTTCTGCCTTTAACATAAGCAGTGTTTTGTCTCCTTTCAAAGTCAGACAAATTGAAGAACTAAACAGGATAATGGAAATTTCAAATTTCAAATACCACCAAGTCTGAAGGAATTGCTCCTGAAATGCAACAAGAGTATGTGGAGGAGAAAATCACAGGCTCCTTCCCAAGGTGTTTTTTAATCAGGTATGCTTTGGGGAGGGCAGCTTTGAACACCATGAGCAACCAGGAATTCTCTGCTGGCAAACCTAGCTGTTTTAAACGGAACGAACTTTCCTTTTCACCAGACCCTAACTTTTTCTGAGTGTCTGACTGGATGCAAAAGGCAGTGGGAAGTGCAAGGGTCATGSACTGAACATGGGACAGGACACCTGGATAAGCTCCCCTCCTTTCTGTCCGCTCAGAGCTGGGCACAGACCATTTCGTACTTACAACTCAGAGTCTTTTGTGATTAGGAAAATTCCCAGTGATGGCTTCTTAATTACACAGTCCAGTAACAGGCAAGATGAGAAGGCTATAAATAGCAATGGWGGAAGCAGTAGAAGCAGAGCAGTTATTTTCAGGTTTGAATACATTAACTAAAATCAAAATAAACCCTCGAATGTTAGCACCTTGCATAGCTGATGATGTACTTATTTAGAGAACTTTTGATATTTACAAGATTGCTTCCAAAATAAAGCTTTAAAATGTCACCTCAAACTAAAACAAAACAACCAAATCAAAAAAATCACAAGATCTGCCAAAAGAAGAAGAAAAAATCAACACTAAAAGATGTGCAAAATTATTTACATAAGAGTCACAGAGGTTGATTAAAGGGCTAAGGGTCTTGCCAGAAACTGATTAATGACAAGATTTAAAGTAAGTTTTAAAGGAAAAAAWTGATGGAGAGAGTAATGCAAACTTCAAAATAACAGATCAAACCAGTATATTTTAATATGCTCATTTCTYAGAGAGTACTGGCCATATCCAGTAAAAATCTTGTCTTTGTGTGCTCCTGAAGACACAAATTTCCTGCAGGWATTTTTGGAAACCAGCATCTTTAAGAGGAAGCATATTCCAGGAGTAACAAGTACAAAAGCATGCACAGAAAACAGTTAAAAACACAGAATAACCCCCCCTCAAACCTCCCTAAAAAAAATTCCCTCCAAACCCAAGAAAATAATAAATCCCTGCACATCCCTGCTGTCTCCTTTGGTCAGTATCACAACTTTCACTCCTAGGTGGAAAACCAGGAGATGCCTTATTCAACCCGTACACGGAATATTAAAAGTGTCAATTCAGTGCAAGTTCATGTAAGTTGCTGACATTTGTGCAGATCCCATTAGAGAGGTGGTTTGTTGGGGTTTATAGCTTGGAAGTTTGTTCAGTTTGATTTCCTTTCAGCAGCTATTCAGGCTGAGTCCCACATAGTCACAAAAAACTCAGTCTGTTTGGGAGTTCTGTTAATGTAAGTGATGTATGAAGCTCTCCTAAGAATGAGCTCTCCTGAGTGGGGGAGAAGAAAAAAAAACCTCAATAAATAGCCTGATGACATCAAAGGTGGCACATTCCTGAGAGAAGAGTCCATTACTCAAATTAGGAATATATAAAGGAAAAGAAAAAAAATAAGACACTAAATCCTGCATATATACAAGCAGCATGGAATCTTTAGAAAAACATTGCATTCCTCATCTTCTATAGCCATGATCAAATTAATCAGGAGAGCAGTGATGCAGGTATCTGTAAATCTGACCAYGTCATATTTGTCTCAATCAGCTTTCACCTGATCAGAGGACAGACACCTGGACAGACAGCTTTAAGATACAGGTTATTACAATCATTTACACCWTGTGAAACTCTCATCTACCTGCAGAGATAATCACCCTTAGCTGCTGCAGAAAACCTGGACTGTCATTGCCAAAACCCAGCCCTTAAGCTSCACAAATTCCTGACCATGGACCGTCCAAATGACATCATTCCAGCCCCTGCTTTAACACTGCTGTGCTTGAATTCTGTTTTCAGAAGCGCTCAAGACCTGCCAGAGTTTGGGAAGGCAGGGAAGCCACTCGGAAACACCTCTTCCTATGAAGAGGRGGAAGGGTAAAAGCCCATTGACTTCTCAAAGATATTCAAACTGTTATCTTTAAACTTTTAGGAAATACTACTTTTGCAAAAACACTGCAGTGAATCTGAAAAGTGAATTTGGTAGAAGAAAAGCTTTTAGTTGGATTCTAGATGGTAAGAGGGATCAGCACAGGCTTAGCATGCCCTGTTATCTCCTGGGCTTACTGGTACAGCCAGTCCTAGKGCAAGACAAACCCAGTAAAGCCCAMTGCTGAGCTGGGTGAGCACTCCAGTGACAATGCTGCACTGGCAGAAGTCTCTTCTCCCTTTCCTATTGCTGCTTTGGGACTTCCTGACAAACTGAACTAGGACAAAAAGGTGTTTTGCTGGTTTATGTGTTGCTTTGTTTCGTTCTGGGGTTTTTTATTATTTGGTGTTTGGGTTTGTTTGTTTGCTGGTTTGGGTAGAGTTTTTTTGTTGTTTTGTGATTTTGTTTATTTGGGTTCTTTTTTTTTTTTGTTTGGGGAGGTTTTTTTCTTGAGAAGATATGATTTGGTAGTTTGATTTGGCTTGGTTTGGCTTGGGCTTTATTACTATTTTCTTGAATCCAGTCAAGCTCTCCTCACAGCTGCACCATCATTTGTAG